TGATTGAAGATTAAACCAGTTATTTGATGGAAGTTTATTCTGTATAAATTATAAATAATTTTTCCAACTACAGTATAAATCACCTTTTGCTCTATTTATTTGTCTCTGGTGTGTTAAATTAATCCTGATCCTCCCTGAGTTTTATCATTAGGTTTTCTGATAAACAGCCCTTTATTTTAAATATTGATTTAATATCAATATCATAAATCCTACACTATACTGCAGCTTGATGGGTAAATGTAGTTGTATACGTAAACATTAAGATAAATATTAATGAAAGATTAAGATAAATATTAATTTAACAATGAGTGTACAAGAGGAACTATATGGTTTGTATTTGTTCTCAGACCTGTAACCAGTACACTGTTTAATCTTTCAATGTCTTTCAGAACTTTTCAAATGTTTATCATCTTTCTAACCAGCACCTTCCTCACTTTTATTTTTGTGTTTTTCAGCCGTTGCTCTGCAGTTTGACTGAAAGCAGACTCTAGAGGTCTGCAGCAAAACTGTCAAGAAGTGGCTTCATTACACGCCAGAATGAGAGGAAGACATCGCAAGGAATCAAAGTGATGCCAACCAGAGTCAAACTGGGGTTACCGCAACTTGTACTGTTTCCCTAATTCATAAAGTACAAAGCTTAACCTCATGTACTCTGTTCTTCTGTGGACAGCAGACTGTTGTTTTGACAGTCAAAAAGGAGTCAAAAATGTTTAAAGATCTGTCCCTCTTTTCTTAAATAAAATGTTATAGCAAACCCATGTTGTCATTTTTAACCTTTTGCACACAGTTTACCCATGATCTGCCAATAATATAGTGTGTTTAACACCAGTGAAGAATCTTTTAGTGGCATGTTATGATGTAGACCTATCAGACCTAAAAATGTACATAAATCCCTAGCTTTCATTCAATATAAAATCAACCCAAATCTGCATGTAGATCCAAGTTCAGATGATGGTTGAATCAACATTGATATGTCAGTTATGGTTGAAACCCTAACGTTGATTCAACATACAAGTGACCCACCACTTTCAATGTTGTTTCAATGTTTCTGGCTGACATTATTCAATGTTGTTTCAATCATTCTGTGCTCTCTGGGGTCCTCCTCTGACTCGCTTAAAACGTTCCTAACTTTATTAAAGAACATCAAAAATCAACAAAACGTGCTCAAATTAATGACCCAACAACAATAATAATCTCAGTGATTATTATTTCAACAAGGTGTTGCGCAATTCTGTGCGTTTCGGTTTGTCGAGAAAAGTCGAGCTCATCCCACTTCCCCATGCTGGAGATTTTAGTTTAATAGTAACAATAAATAAAGTTATCTTTAAAACTAATTACAAAGGTGACATCAAGACCCAACAGTAGAGTCAGACGGTAATAAAATTAATCTGGTTGTGTGTATTGTTATTGTATCCTTCAAACTTTGCTTTAATTAAATGATTAATTAATCAATTAACATTGATTAACTCATAATGTCTCCAAGACGGTGATGGATATGAGATTATCGGTCCAAGTACTCAGCCAATGAGACAGGCACAGCAACAAAGCTAGCAAATGCACCAAAAGGGTGGATAAATCCTTTATAAGGTGGGTGCAACAGAGGAATCTTTGGTTGGATCCTTCAGGCAGCTTCGAGCCAAGATCGAGATGGACAAAGAACTCTGCAGCTGAAGAAGAGCCGGGGCCACAGAGCTGAAGACTGTTCTGCACATGGGGACCAACCCGTTAGCCCTGCAACATGTGGCTTCAAATTGCATTTCTCTCATCAGCTGGGTTCAAGACCCCAAAGACAAAGACAAAGACCAAGGCAAAGATGAAGATAAAGACAAAGACAAAGAACAAAGGCAAAGAGGAAGAACTGGTGTGTTCCTTCCATGAGACCAGCTCGTCTACAGCTCGATGGACCAGAAAGATCGTGAGACGAAGAGAAAGGAGCTACAGAGCTGCAAGACAAGAAGCGGAGGACCGCTACGCGCATGAGGAAGTTATCCTGAGGCCCGAGTCCTGCCGCTCTAAGTCAGTACTCTTCCTGCCAGCACCCAAGTCCTGTGTGACCTCACCATCGAAGCGGAGACAAAAGCTCATCAGATCTGCAGGGACGGCTGCCCTCATCTATCAGCGCTGTGAGCCTTCTGCTGCTGCAACACTTCCTTCATCAGGCCAGTTCTGGGGTTCAAGATGCCAACCTCCGTCCATCTCTCTCAAAGTTTCAGTGTCAGCATTAGGGAAAGATTGATTAGATTATTGATTTTACTTATTTGATTATTTCTGCTACTGATTTAAGCTGTACCGACCCTTGCAAAATTGCCTTGCTAATAAAATATTAAAGTCTAAAGTGATGCTGTGGACAGTTAAATTAATTAAGTCAGCTAAAAAACTAAATCTTCTGGTTAATGTAAAGTCAATATTCATGATCCTAGTAAATTAGGGGGGCTTCAGACGTTTCTTTGGTTATGATAAATAATGACCCTGGGACTCAGTTCGAGTCTCTAAAATTATCTAAGCTGTAACAAGTGCACGTTATTAATAGAGAAAGAGCTGCCTTGAACAGGTGTGGTTTATGCTGTCGGGCATCGGCGGTCTACTCCTATGTCTGATTCATGAACTGAAGCGGGTCATAACGTCTGGATCTGAAGGTAGTTAGAGCTTAGACGCATCTTTCTCGCACCCAGCTTAAACAAAATGTCCTCTACATTTGTATCTGTGGTAATACTCAGGAATTAGAGGCTTTTCGGACCCGTTAGTCGGAGAGCTGGTCAGTAGTCAGTCCGCTGGAGTTTGGGAGGTGTTAGGGGCGTGGCTGAATACTGCGTAATAACAAATTCCATTACCAACTAGCAGAGCAGGAGTTTAAAATTAACCAATCAACCACTGCTGTGTTCAGGGGAGTGCTTATCAATGATCGC